GGTACAGGTGTGCAAACTAAAGGCGGAAGTGAACAGGCTGAAGAAGTCCAGGAAGGCCTGTGTTAATAAGGAGTCAGTGATGAAGCAGTTGAAGAAACTCTTACCAGCCAAAGCATATGCTTTTGTGAGTACACAGATACATATGTTTCAGCGGAAGGCTGATGGTTTTCGGTGGACCACTCAGGACAAAGCTTTCTTCTTGTCTCTGCTACATGACAGTCCAAAGTGTTGCAGGTTGCTGTTTAAAGCGTTTTCTATGCCATCTGTCCACACACTGCAGAAGCTTATGAAGGCTATCGATATTGAGAAGACTATTGGCGAACACAGCTATGCTAGAGTGATTACTGACTGTAAAGTAGATGAAACGGTCACCGTATATGCATATCCACCAGTCACTGCTAATGCGGAAGCCAAAGCTGAACAGGTGGAGCAGCCAATAGACTATACACTTGACCACCAGTTTGATTCCCACCAAATATCTTCTTTTAGTTCTGGAGATCATGGTAAGTGATCTTTGGTTTTTCTGAATTTTTAGATAATTCTATGTACACTACAATAACTTGTTGAGCTGATGGACTGCTTTGTGGTCATCCACTTGACTTGTGAGTCAGATAGGTCAAGGAGAGTACTCAGCCAGGACCGGCTATCTACCTCTAGTAAATCTGAGAATCTCAGAATCCAGGGAAAGTTCTCAGCCAGGACCAGCTATTCTCAAGAACAAAAGAGGTCTAGGCAACTCAGAATCGGTTTATTGTCATGTATATGCATTAACACAAGGAATTTCACTCTGGTTAACAGACTAGCAAATATATACAGACATGCCAAAAGCAAAAACAAACTGTAAAATGAGGTAAGTTAAATAGGCTGAAGAAGACCAGGAATGCCGGTGTTAAAGGGGCCATGAACTGAGAAACCAAAAATTCCATTGATCTTTTGACATAAGAGGTCATTGTACTATAAAACATTCAGAATTGTACTATAAAACATAAGTTTCAGAACTAAAAACTGTTTCATTAGTCTAAAAACAGCTTATACTGAAGGCAGTCTGCCAAAACGGCAGCTTTTGGTATGTTTACTCTATGATGTAATAGAGTGGATAAGCACCGCCTTCACAGAAGATCAACGCCTGCGTCTACATCACTGCCTGTTTAGCCCCGTCCACTGATTCACGCATGTAGTGTAAATAATTAGAAATAGAGGTGAATGCGCAGGTTTATGCAGAAACCAAGCTGTAAAGATGGCTTTGAAGACAACAAGATGTTGTGCAGTGCCAAGTTGTGGAAAAACAGTGTTTGCATTGCCTTCCTTCTGATCCCAACGTTAGGAAAGAGTGAATGAACTTTATTTTTAACGAAGAGCCAGGCCATGTCTGTAAGAACTTGTTCCTTTGTTCACTTAATTTTACTGCGGATTTATTTATAAACAAAACACAATTCGACGCAGGATTTTCAAAAAGAAAAAAGTATTGGATCAGACAGTAATGTGACAAGTGCGAGTAACTGTTTTCATTACGTGGTCACTTGCTTTGTCTCTTCTTACAGATTGTTTTATATGTATTGTTATTTATGCATGTATTATTTTTTGCATTTTCGCCTTTATTACGACAGGACAGATCAGAACTGACAGGAAGCGAAGTAGGAGAGAGATAGGGGGCAGGATTGGGAAAGGTCCTCGAGTCGGGATTCGAACTCGGGATGCCCGTAATGCAATGGCGCTGCCCACAAGGCTATCGGTGCCAACATTTATGTGTTTTTGACCTAAATCACAGCAGCACCTATCTATGAGCAATGTACGCTGTCAAACATACACAACTCTTAGCCGATCATAGCAGTGGGAGTTTACTTCCGAGTTTACAATCCGCCACGCCTATTCAAACAAAGTGTTCTGATGAGGGGGGTTAAAAACAGGCCAGAAAATAGCCTATTACTTCAAAATTGAAAAATAAAAAAACAAAGGCAGTTCATGACCCCTTTAATAAGGAGTCAGTGATGGCTATAATATACAGAGAGGGAAAACATTTAAGGAACACTTGATTAAACGAGTGGAGAAATATATCGGATGCAAACATCTGTAAATAAGTCTGCACTTAATCTTAATATTGTCATATGCCTTATTTTATTTGTGACATATATGTCATTAGGTAAACCTTATAATTAATATTTGTATGTATTTTGTTTTTCCAGAACAGTGATGCTGTGCTGGAGTCTGATGTGAGGGTGTTCTACCAAATCATTTCCTGGACCTGCTGAGTGACATGAGATGAGGCCACCAAGTTTAGCAGCATTTGCCTTTGACCATGATGGAAGTGTACTGGTTTACATAGCTGGGTATATGGCCAGTAAGGTTGTGGGGAAATTCGCAGTCAGTGAAGATGGTCCCTGCAAGGAGTGTAAAATCTTGAACACAGATATCCCTGCTGATTCACATTACGCACTCCTCAAGGACAAGCAGTACACTAACCTCAATTTAGGAGAGAAGAGCCTTAAAGTGCCCAGCATGGCACTGGTGGATTTAGTCATATCTCTGGAGTCTAGCTTCCGAAGACAGAAATAAAGATCAGCTCAGTTATCCACACAGTTAGGCTGGGTGGGAAGCTATTTACCAGTAGGATGGTGATTGTGAGTGAGTGCAGGGGAGTAGTGTGTGACACGGAGAAGTGCAAAAAGTCACTCACCTACATGGTTACTCTTTATACAGATCAGAATCCAAAATTGGCAAATCTCACAGCCAAATTAGAGGCACAATAGAAAATTTCTCAACTTAGTCATGTTGTATTGTCTTGTATATGTTTTATGTTATCAGTTGTGGAATCCAACCATTAAGTACACATTTAAGGTAGGTTTAGCCTACTTTGAGTATTTCCCTTTTATGCAACTCTACACTTTTACTATTACTCCACTAGGTATGAAATATATATTGTACGTTTTAATCCCCTGGAACACACTGCAAACATGATGCATTGCTGTGTCTGTAATAATTGAATAATTAATTTGAGACTGGCTGTAAAAAAAAAAGTTGTTTTTGTTTACATTCTTGCTTTAACGTTAACATTAATATAAGACAATACTGCAAAAACAGTTTACTGTCAAGCTTTTATAATCCTGTTGTCCAACATTCCCAGTTTTTCCAATGCATTTCCTTAATTTAATTTTATGTTGGTATTGGTGTTATTATATTATAGTGTTATAATAGTGGTATTAATATTCAGTGTTTATAATGCTGATACTTGAACTTAAAATAATTTAAACTGAAACTAACATGGTTTCTAAAGAGCAAATGTTTTGTGAAAAAAATGGAAGACTTAAACACAGTCTAAAATAAACTGTTAAATGAATTTGATGATCACTAGTCTAGTGATTGTATGTTATTCTGTGTTGTCATGGATTTCAGCTTAATGTACTTTTCTTTTTTAAACAAAGCAGCTAATATTGCCACAACGAAAAGCTAGTGGACTTGAGACTGGCTGTAAAAAAAAAAGTTGTTTTTGTTTACATTCTTGCTTTAACGTTAACATTAATATAAGACAATATTGCAAAAACAGTTTACTGTCAAGCTTTTATAATCCTGTTGTCCAACATTCCCAGTTTTTCCAATGCATTTCCTTAATTTAATTTTATGTTGGTATTGGTGTTATTATATTATAGTGTTATAATAGTGGTATTAATATTCAGTGTTTATAATGCTGATACTTGAACTTAAAATAATTTAAACTGAAACTAACATGGTTTCTAAAGAGCAAATGTTTTGTGAAAAAAATGGAAGACTTAAACACAGTCTAAAATAAACTGTTAAATGAATTTGATGATCACTAGTCTAGTGATTGTATGTTATTCTGTGTTGTCATGGATTTCAGCTTAATGTACTTTTCTTTTTTAAACAAAGCAGCTAATATTGCCACAACGAAAAGCTAGTGGACTGGATGGAAACATAGGGCTGCTGCTGGGCGCTACTGTTGCAATGGAACAGCCTATTGGCTTTCACTTTACACTAAGTTCTTTGATAATATTTAGACAAATTATGACTGATTAAACCCCTTCACTACTTATAGGACGTAAAAGGGGGTAAACATGAAACAGGCCCTTCAAACATCAACTGGCAAAATATCTACTATAACAAATATTTGGATTTTACATGTTACTTGCAATATATAAAGTTAGAAGTCTAATTACTTCATATGGGCAACAGATAATAAAGATGCCTTTTTAGCCCCAGGCACTGTATACAAGTATAAACTCCAGACACAGCAATAAATAATTACTGCAAAACTCCTAAAATACCACAAAAGTGATAGATTAATATATTATCCAGAGCAATGAATTGACATCATTGCCTGCACAAGACTCTCCTGCCTGATGGAAGTTTATGGGTTATGACATAACCTTGGCCTCACTTCATGAATAACCTACTGCATGCTGTCATAATCAGGTTATGATGACAATCTTAATGCATGCAGGAAGACCCTTAACCTGATCCCAAAAAATAAAGTTCGACTGGGTGTGAGAAAGACTACGTCACCTCTTGAAGAGATTAGTTTGTGTAAACTCTAAAATCCTTTAATTGGGAAAATAATTAATTTTTACCACAAAATATGGTTTAAACAATGTGACTAAGACTGTTTGGTGGAAAATGCTTTGTAAATATATCAACTCTCATATGCATTATTACCCTAACAACCTCACAGTTCAGCAAGACTGCAACTACTGCAGTGAATGTTTACATCTCAGTCTGTTACGCAACTCTAAGCTGCACATGTCAGGCTTACCTTCTTCAGAGGATCCGCACATCATGCCTTTGCCAAGCCCCTTTCCCAACACCCTATAAAGAGCTTAACTATTCCTGCATGCTATTTCCGCAGTGGCTGTGTCTGAAGAAAGAAGTGGATGTTGGGGGCTCTGGAAATAACAGGTAGCCCTAAACATGCAAAAGATCAAGTCCCTTTTTTGTCGCGCTACACATCCAAAACCGAATTCTTGTCCTACGTGCTGCTCTACCTGGTGAAGATGCCTTTCCCGCCTGTAACAAGACCACGGAGTCTTCCCAGCTCGGGCAAAGAGAAACTTTCAGGACTATCACCTGTCATTCTGGTCAAGACCGCGGAAGAGAAAAGTTCTGTGAAGGAACGGCTCAAGAAGTTGAGCAAGAAGGCCACGCCACACAAAGGTAAGCTACCTACCAGTCGGGCCCCTTCTGGCTTGAGGATGGAGGGTAAAAGCACTTGGATTACAACTCCAAGTCCCGCTGATCCTTTAGGTTCCTCGACCCCAACTTCTTCTAAAAGTACTTCTGGCAATAGTACCTCTACAACCAATTTGGCAACAGCCTCCTCAGTGAAATCCTCTAGCAAGAAGATGTTTCCTGTCAGCGTTTCAGCAACAAACATTCCCACAAACTCTTCTAGTCCATGGGCTTCGTCAGGATCAGGCCATGGACTGAATAGTGAATGTAACTTCTCTCTCAACTTGACTCCTGAGGCCACCTTGCTCCTGCAGAAACGTAGCCGTGAGAAGCAGCTCCGTGCCGTCCGTGGCACCGCACCACACCAGAAAGACCGTCTGCATGCCAAGCCAGGTTCTCGATCCAACATCCCACTTGTGAAGATCTCTCTTCTAAACGAGCATCACCGATATGATGATGTGGAATATGAGAAAGATGAACAGAGTGTGGATCAGAGCGTTCTGCTGAAATGTTCTGAATGGTTGCGAGGGGTGGAGAATGCTGCTGGAGCTACAGTCTTGGGTAGAGTGGACAAAATCAGCCAGAAGAGCATTTAACAGATCAGATGCTCCGTGTCCTGTTACTTGTGCTGACTTGAGAAAGGTGGTAGTTTTGAGTAGTGGTCAACTGATATGGGTGCCTTATGGCTGATTATTACTTAGTTTAATGGCAGAAAATGGGATGTACATATAATTGCAACACCTATTTTAAACAAATTTGAACATACAATGTTTACATTTCACAATGAAAGTGAAAACATAAATTGTTGCCAAGGCTACTGGTATATTTTAGACCTGACTCATAGAAAAATAAATGTCCTGTTAATGGACAGAATTATTGGCTGATGCAGCATAATATGGCACCAACAAAGCCAAGGCCATAGGTTTGATTCCCAGCGAATGCATGAATTAAAAATAAAATGCATTCCTTGAATGCAATTTAAATCCCATTTGCTAAATGCATGATGTCATGAAGTCACTGGCCTGGCTAACATATCAGTCTATCACCATTCTTGTGGTATTTTAGGAGTTCTGGACAGATTCTGCAGTAACTATTTATAAGTGGACAACCATGACTAAATCAGTATTGGATTTTTCACATTTCGGCTATTGGTTCACAATGGAAGGAACATTCACAACTGTTTTGGGTATGATCTGACCTCTAAATTAAACACGTACGATTATCCAGAGTTTAAGTGAAATATGCAACCTTACAATGTTGCGTTTATATTTTTGAATTGTATTGCAAATATTCTCTTGAAAAGAGAGCACACTTTAAATTTTTATGGGGATTCATTGCTGTCTGTAAGAATACATCAAGTCTTAACTCTACAGTCGAAGAGCACACATGACTTTGCTGTGTTACTATAAGTGGCTTAAAGGACATGGTTTAGACAGACTTAGCAACTAACAACATCGCCTACTCGTAGCACTTCCTGATCTCATTAACAGAGAGATGCCTTCACTTTTAACCAAACAGCAAACATGGTGGAGGGCATGAGTGGTTATGTTTCTACAACTGCATCAATCTCAAGTAGACATGATAGGAAGTACAGCTAAGGGTTACGCCAACATTTTCCCTGTTTCTTTAGATAACATTTACTAAAATACAGTAAAAACAGTAATAGTTTGCAAAATTATTACAATAAAAATCTTTTTTACACTATTTTAAAATGCAATTTATTCCTGTGAAGGTACAATTCAATAAAATCTTACTGACCCTTGAATGGTAGTCTATGTTAGAATCAAATGTCAAAAGCATGACAACTGTTAAACTGTAAAAGTTACTGTTTAAATGCTACAACTATAATTTAATTAAAGAAATCATAAAATGTAACTTTTTGGCAAACACACTGACTTGATTATTACTTTGGGGGACATTTAAATAATATTTATGGATGTTATCAAGTGACAACAACAAGTAGTCTCGTGATAACATCACAACATTTATTCTGTAGTTTATTTTCTCTGGCAAAGATTAGAAATTACTATCTGAAGCCAAATGGGCAGTTTTGCATGTATTTTACATAGATTACATAGAGTCCAATGAGCTAAACATCCCTCCCATTACAACTCACGACGCAGAGAGATAATTTGATTAACAAAGTAGGTTGAATGCTGCATAACCTCAAAAATAGGTGTGTATCTCAATCTCCTTTGTGTAAACCAGAAATTTACAAAAGGGAAAAAAACTAAACACCCTCCTCTTAAGTGGAACAAAGCATTCAAACTCAAGCTATTTGCTGGAGGACTCCTGACAACCCTTTCACTTCACGTCTAAGCTACTTAACTTAGCACGGTAGGCCAATTGTATATTTTATATACAATTATTTTATATTGAAATAAAATTACCTAGCTATCATTTACAGGTAATTCAGCTTTGAGACTTGGACGTAACATTAAAACAAACATGATGGATGGTATTTCAGATGGATGAGCTAGATGAGACTCAGCTGAAGAATCATGTGGACAGTCTGAAGCAGCAGTTACAGTTTAACAGAGAGAAAACATCTGTCGCGATTCCAGAGTGAGTTTCAAACGTAAAAAGTCTACTGCTTTGGTTTGTTTCAAACCAGTGATTTCCAACTAGGGGTTTATAAACCTTTAACAATTGTTATAAAATTGTGAAGAAATTAAAAAATAAATACATAAAAATAATAATTATCTTTTTTTTTTAAATGCACACTTATATGTATAGATATTCATATATAAATGCAAATCATTGTGTATAAAAATCTGAATACATCTGTTCTGAAAATATTACAATAATATAAATATAGCATTTAAATACGTATTTTGATTTGTGAAGTTCCAAGCTTAGTGAAATAAATTAAGTAAATAATAAGTCTACAGATATTTTGTGTGTGTGTTAAGTTCTATCCTCCTATTATACATTTATTTCCAGGTTAGCTAAATGGATCGAGGAGAAAATGAACGAGGATCCATTTCTGAATCCAGATGTACTGAAGGACAACCCGTGGGTGGAGTCAAGTAAATGTGTTATAATATAGTGCAAGAGCTGTCACTCATCACTATGGCAGCAGGAGTGACTCCACCCACAGTCATGGTTACACTGCCCAACTTTGACTAGGACAAACATGCAAATGTAAATCTGCTTTCTTGTTTACGCTTATCATGCCACAACATTATGAAAAAAAGAAAAAAAACGTGTTATTTAGTGAAAACATGTATTTATAAAAGTGTAAGACAACTATGCAAGAACACAATAAAAAAACAACAAAACAAAGAGGAACCAGTGCTTTTTCTTTTTCACATATTGTAGATTTGTAGGTTTGTTTTTTAACTTTACAGTACAAGGTTCAGAACATTTTTGGTTTTTCATTTATTGATTTAAGGTGGTAAATTAACATGGGCTTCATCCACTTTCTCACCCATATCACTTTAAAGTAACTCCCGAATGTAAACGTTTCTGCGCACTGCATTGGACACACCTTCATTGAAACGAAACCATACGTCACTGTTACCCACGGCTTTACCGATATGCACCACCCCAGCTCCTTTGCCATCTTCACCTGCAGAAAGTGAGATTAGTTCATTTTTAGCAGAAGACTTGTACTGTGATTTATTGCACAAGAGTATGAAAAGCATCTATATATATATATATATATATATATATATATATATATATATATATATATATATATACACACACACACAAACAACAACAACACACCTGTAGTGACCACAGGCTTCTCCTTGGGTACAATGGCTCAACCAAAGAAATCCAATTCAGGCTATAAACATGGAAAGGATAAATAAACAAGTCATCACGTGTGAGCACTTCGACCCTGATCCACTATTAACCCAATTAATCTTGGATTATTATGAAGCATAAGTCAAGCATATGCAAAGAGAGCCAGTATGAGAATAATCAGATAACATGATGGCACAGAATCACTGTAAAATGGATAAAGGGGAGAATTTACTAAATACTTTAAAGCAAAAACAAACATTCTCTGGTTTGGCATTTTAAATTAGGTTACAATCAATAATCTATAACTAGCACTACAATTTGTAAATATTATAGCTTTTTTTGGCGCATTTGCAATCAGTTTTTTATTGCATATAATATTTGCAAATTTTTATTTATTTTTTTATTATTTGCAAATATTATCAGCAATAATATAAAACTGATTAGTCATAAAACAGTTTCACACAATGCCAGAATGAAGTTGTGAATCACAGATTCCAGTATTGAATTTGCTATGGTAACATTCAATGGTGGACTGCACTTAAAGAAAATACATTTTAAAAAGGGATTTTTATGAGTATAGGAGGTTCAAGGACAGATGTAAAGGATTTAAGGTGGTTTAATATAGATGCTTTACCCTGCTTTCCACCACAGTCTGTTTAACAATATTCTCCAGCCTCTGCTGATGGTTCCTGTTTGTCTGTTTCTTCACTTCTGTTTTCTTCTCCTCTGGCACCTTATTAACTGCCTCTGTCTGAACACACAGAACAAATACTTTGCAATCTGCACAATCCTGTTTATGAAACACGATTGTCTACAGCTCTGCATATTATACAGTGCCTATAGAAAGTCTTCATACCCCTTCATTTTTTTCACATTTTCTTATGTTGCGTTATGTTAAACTGCTTTAAATTACTTTTTTCCACATAAATCTACACCCCATTCACCATAATGACAAAAGCAAAAACCGGATTTGTCACAACTTTGCAAATTTATTAAAAAGGAAACACTGAAAAAAATGACATTGCACAAGTCTTCATACCCTTAACTCAATTTAGTTGAAGCACTTTGGCAACAATTACAGCCTCACGTCTTTTGGGGTATGATGCAACAAGCTTTGCACATCTGCATTTGGGTTTTTTTGCCATTCTTCTCTTTAGATCATCTCAAGCTCTGTCAGGTTGGCTGGGGGACCATCGGTGGACAGCCATTTATAGGGTTCTCCAAAGATGTCTGATTGGTTCCAAGTCTCAGCTCTGGCTGGGCCACTCGAGGACGTTCATAGAGTCGTCCCTAAGCCACTGCTGCATTGCCTTGGTTGTGTGCGTAGGGTGATTGTCATGTTGGAAGGTGAACTTTCAGCCCAGTATGAGGTTCTGAGCGCTCGGAACCAGATTATCATTAAGGATATCTCTGTATTTAGCTGCATTCAGCTTTCCGTCTTCTCTGATCACTTACCCAGTCCCTGCCGCTGAAAAACACCCCCACTGCATGATGCTGCCGCCTCCATGCTTCACCGTTGGGATGGTATTATGCAGGTGATAAGCGGTGCTTGGTTTCCCTCAGACATGAATAAGGAGTTATTTAGGTGTATTTTTGTAAATTCCAATCAGGGTTTCATGTATCTTTACCGAGAAGCTTAAGTTTGGTCACTTTTGCCATCAAGCCCAGATTGGTGGTGTCGCAGTGATGTTTGTCCTTCTGTAAGTTTCTCCCATCTCTATATAAGATCATGGAGCTCAACCAGAGTGACCATCAGTGTCTTGGTCACCTCTCTAACCAAGACCCTTCTCCTTTGATTGATCAGTTTGGCCAGGAGGCTAGATCTAGGAAGAGTCCTGATTGT